TTTTTTTTTTTTTTTTTTTAAAGTGGGAATATTATATTCCAAGGTTCCATTTTGTATTTTTTTATCACGCACAACACCCCCCCCCCCTTTTTGAGATTACCCCCCTGATTTTTCATAGGCATGTAGGCTTGCCAGATGCTAGAGTAGTTATAAAAAACGTATATCAAATATGAGGCAGGAGTCCAATAGTAAATGTGTCTGATTATACCCCCCCCCCCCACACACCAACCATGCCGCATATCAAAGTGCTGACATCTATACGTGTAGTAAGGGAAGTAATCCGACCTTTTACGACAGCCGAGGCTACTTAACTTCATCCCATGCCGCAATCTAAGTCCAGAGGCTTCGCAGACCGAGCATTGAGGTCTGACATGTATACCCGGATGTTACCCGCCACCTAACGTCATCTGACGCCTGGTGGTTAAATACCTCTCGGGGCAGGTCTTATGGCTGGGGTATGGCAGACCTTATGGCTGGGTAGGGAAGGTCTTATTGTTAGGGCATGGCAGGTCGTATGGCTGGGGTAGGGCAGGTCTTATGGCTGGGGTGGGAAGGGCTTTTTGCTAGGGCATGGCAGGGCGTTTGGCTGGGGTATGGCAGGTCTTATGGCTGGGGTAGGGCAGGTCTTATGGCTGGGGCAGGGTAGGTCTTATGGCTGGGGTAGGGTAGGTCTTATGGCTGGGGTAGGGTAGGTTTTAGAGCTTGGGTAGGGCAGGTCTTATGGCTGGGGTAGGGCAGGTCTTATGGCTGGGGTAGGGCAGGTCCTATGGCTGGGGTAGGGCAGGTCTTATGGCTAGGTATGGAAGGTCTTATGGCTGGCGTATGGCAGGTCTTTTGGCTTGGGTAGGGCAGGTCTTAGGGCTTTGGTAGGGCAGGTCTTATGCCTGGGGTAGGTCAGGTGAATTTGTCTTTTTTTTTAAAATTGTTATTTGGGTTTATTCTCATTCTTTTTTTTTTTATTTTCAAGTGGGGCTAACATTACGGTTTCATTTTTAAAAAACGCCTTCGGAATAAGACAATTGCTAAATGATGTGGATCAAATTGCCAGTGCGTGGAGTTTCTTTCTTTTTAAAAAATTCCCGGCCCCCCAAATGTTTTTAATTAAAATAATAATTAATAAAAGATTTTTTTTTTAAACAAACAATTTAAAGGTTTAGTGTGCTTATTGTAGCTATTTTCTTGTATGTACTACTGGCATCGTACTGCTAGAGTTGTGTCGAGTCTTAGCATCGGTTTAAACTTTTTTTTTTTTTAAAGTTTGGCGCATTAATCTATTTTTGTCATTGTTTTATGTAATTATCAATTTCCTGGTTAAAGTACTTCCTTGATCGTTTTCAAGACCGACTATTTTATCTCACCAACCATTTCTTATTCAACAAATCCCAATCAGTATGCCTTCAGTTATTGATTTATACGTATGTATTTATAAACTATTTTACGATTGGCATGACACTGTTATCAACAGGATGTGTCATTCTTATTTATAGCCGTTTAACATAATTTTAAAAAAATTGGTCACGTCTAGAATACCGGTCTCTGGTCAAGTATAGAACAGTGGTCTCCAGTCTGCGGTCACGTCCAGAATAGTGGTCTCCAGTCTACGGTCACGTCTAGCACAGTGATCTTCAGTCTCCGGTCACGTATAGAACAGTGGTCTCCAGTCTACGGTCACGTCTAGAATAGTGGTCTCCAGTCTACGGTCACGTCTAGGACAGTGGTCTCTAGTCTATGGCCACGTCTAGAATAGTGGTCTACAGTCTACGGTCACGTCTAGAACAGTGGTCTATGGTCACGTCTAGAATAGTCGATTTTGCACTAAAATTTATTAAGGTGTATGACAGCGTACTTGTATGTGGTGAACCGGGTTCAAATCCGTGTTACCCCCCACCCCACCCCGCCAAAAAAATATTAAAAATTAAATAATTAAACCTTGCCACGTCATTATGTGAGTGTCATATCTTTTTATTTGGGCCTATTATTTTTTTTTAATCTAAGCCCTAAATCATCATCTAAGCCCTAAATCATCAACTAAGCCCTAAATCATCATCTGGCGCCATTAGTTTTACACCTGACACTTTATGCCCTTCAAGCGTCAGTTGCAAGTAAGTGGTATAATTTATAGTCAACAAAACTATGTGTCTGTTATAGTATGTTTGTGTTGGTGGGAGTGAGTATATCTTAAGACGACACAAACAACAAACAGAATCGAAGAAGTCATCGTTTTAATTACTTTTGTGTTACATCACATACAGTTGTAAAACTCAACTAGGGTTCTCATACATTTTGTGCATATTATAAACGTCGAATTTTGAGAATTCCTCCCTTCCATTTAAAAATTTTATGCCGTTCTTCGTGCTTCTCATGTGATGTTGATCAAAGCTAAATTTAATAGTGGGTGGGTTTCTGTTGTATGCCTAGAGAGCTCATCCGAACGGTCAAAGCCAGCGTTTTCTTTTAAGTTTGGTGGACCGTTGGACACATTTTGAAATAGAGCCTGGCACCGGTGCCAGATTTAGTCATTACATTTTCATTTTTATCCGACCATAAAAACTCATGTTGTGCGGTCCAGGAACGTGAGGCTCTCTGACCGGCGCCGGTCCACGTACAATGATTTTGAGAAACACTGGCCTAAATATTTGAAACCTTTTTTCTTCAGGTCCGAATCTTTTACCTAAAAGCAAGTCTACACATTTGCTGTATAAATCAAATAAAATGTGTCCAACAAAATAAATAAATTGATCGCTTATTATTGAGTGTTCTACGAAATAAAGTGATAAATGGCATGTGCTAGATTATTAAATTGAGCTAGTAGCGTTGTAGAAAATAATTTAATACAATGCTATTACCTACTCCTGCAGCGTAGCAGGAAACAGTTACGTACGAAATCATAAAACACTACGTCTAGAGTCTAGACAATCATCCCAGTGATTCTGCTGCGTCTTAACATTATCTCAGCCTTTTTTACTAGTTCTGCTGGGACCCATGACGACGACATACCTCCGTGGAGTTACACGTAAAATGTAGTCGAGATGAAACGTGTTTACATTATAACAATGCAGACATTAAATTAAACATTACAATAAGGCTTATGACGTGACAGCTCTGTCACGTGACTTCGGAAGCCGTGATTTGAAGACCCGTATTTAATAATAGCTCATCCAACCACTTTGTTTAGAGGAGCATTTATTGGTGAGTGTATGCAAGAGTTTATTTATTATTAAGTAGAAAAATGAGTGACTGCAATCCTCCACACAATGGTTCAACAAACTCCTATTCTTGGGACCAATTCTTCAGCGTTCAGTTTCCGGTAAAAGGTCCTGCGGATTCGGATAAAATATTTATTTTAAAAATAAATTTAAAAAAAAAAGAATACCCCTCTGATGCTGAAATATTAGAAACATTTTTATGAATGCACTCGAAATGCACATCGAAATGTCAAAATTAATTATTTATTCCACCAATGTAATTCAAATTAATTAAAAACATATTCTGAAACTAGTATAACTTAAAATCTTTTAATGATTTTATCTGTTGCCCACGAAAACAGATGATTTTTTAAAAATTATATATATATATATGTATATATATTATTAGTAAATATTAATCTTTTCGACAAATCGATGCACTCACTGGCGTGATTATAGGCATATTTTTTGCCAGTTTAATCTTCACTTGGTTTATTTTTTGTTTTTTGTTTTTGTTTTTTGTTGTTTTTTCTTGTTGTTGTTGTTTTTTTTTTTTTTTTTTTTTTTTTTTTATAAATATAACATATAAAATAAAAAAAATAATAATGTAAAGCAAAAATTAATTCAAAATTTCTTTTTTTTTTTTTTTTTTTTTTTTTTTTTTTTTTTTTTTTTTTTTTTTTTTTTTTTTTTTTTTTTTTTTTTTTTTTTTTTTTTTTTTTTTTTTTTTTTTTTTTACAAATATAACATATAAAATAAAAAAAATAATAATGTAAAGCAAAAATTAATTCAAACAATCATAAGAATTTTGCCCGCAATGTAACACACAACTGACAAGAGAGGTAACTTTTGGGAAAGCGATGAATATGAAGTATATGCAGTTGCGTCCCGTTTTAAGAGTCTTTTTCAACTATAAACCAGTTAAAGTATTCAAAGCAAATGAAAGTTTTTTTAAAGAAAGACAAGGGAGAGACTGTGGAAGAAGTAGACAGATTACGAGAGCCAGATGATTATAAAATATAATGGTAAAACTAAAAATCTCTTTCCATCACCATTTGATATGCAATGTGCATGAGAGTAAACTTTTCTTTAAAAATTATGTATCTCTAAATATGCCTTAGTATGCCTCAATATGCTGATACAAGACTAAAATTGCCTGAAATCAAATTATCCGTTGATTGTTGCTGGTCTAAAGGGAAATCACAACAAACATAATTAACAGTTAAAGTTCAACCAAATTTTAACCATCCTTATACCACACCAACCCTCACCCCAGCCACCATATCCCCTTAACCCCCCCCCCCCACCTACCCTTACCCCCACCCACCATTACTCCTCCAAAAAGATAACGTTATTTTTTACCCCAGTAATGGTGGGGGGGGGTAAGGGTAGGGGGGGGGGGGGGGGTAACGAAATTGTGTATTAAAAAATAACAAGACAAACCTGCTGTTTGAAATTCAAGATCTGAGTTTCACAAATGGTCAGACGTTGGACGCAACTATCAAGTCTCTCAAGGATCAATATTTGTCTGCCATGAAATGTGAATAAGAAAAGATTCTTTTTTTTTTTTTTTAAACAAAAAAGTTAATCACCAATAGTTTTCAAATCTAATTTTTTTTTTTAATTTTAAATGTTAATTAAATTTTAATGAGTATCAATTATTTATTTCAATTCCCACAATATACTTCAACTTTTAAAACCTCCAGGGTCACATTAACTGTAAACTTTGTGTGACCATAATTTGAGACGTTGGCCCAATCAACTTTCATTTTGAACAGACTTTCCCGCACTAAAGGTTATCACTCTGTGTTACGCACTGCCTTCTATTAGGAGAAATTAATCTCCTCGTTTAAATGTATGGCTCGTTCAAAACGGTGCATAACAAAAGGACGATACCATAGAGAAAAACATTAACTAACATACGACACCCAAAACAGTACCAATTACAATTAATAAGATTTATATTTAGTAATAATACTATTGCAAAACAAAAGAAATATAATTACAAATCATCAACTTGCAGAGTTGTGGAAAATCGTGTACCGGTACACAATTAGTACAATGTGCCAATAAATAATGATGAATGCGAATAAACACATATGAGCACACAAAGAATAATACAATTGTCTCGTAAGGTTAATAATATATCTATCTGAATCTCTCTCCCTCTCTCTCTCTCTCTCCGTGTCTGTCAACCTCTTTATATATGCAGCGTAAGCCCTGCCTTCCAGAAGCTATTCAGCATTTGTTTACGTTTCTCGGCAAATCGAGAACCTTCGACAAGAAACTAGGAGACAGACTAACCCTGTTTAATTGGTCGTCGGTAGTAAACATGATACATCAAAGAGTTTAACCACGCCCAAAACAGACGCTACGGTCTGCTATGAATCTAATGTGGGGGGAAACTAAGTTCAAGCACGGGGAAAATGTGTACTACATAACACTCTGGCTGAACTGCTTTCACTCCTGTCTTCAAGGACCACGGCTCTGGTAATTGTTCTATTTCCATTTCAATCTTATAATAATTTTATCTTTGTGGGGGGGGGGGGGGATATATTTTTTTACAAATGTCACCTGTCACTCATGTCATCAGGGGGCGTGTTCTCGTAGTTTCCCAAAGCTGATTTCACATGTTGCCTCTCCCACACGTTGAGTTTCAGTTGCATGTCATTAAATTGTGGACCCGGGCCTCTTTTCTGATCTACGATATAAATATCAACTTTCATGCTAGACTTTATTGATATGTTGTTGGATATCCTATAATATACATAAACTACCTTTAGCTTGAAAATGCTACCTTCTTTAATATGTGATAAGATTATACAGATTTTTTTTAAGTTTTCAAAGGATTAAGTTGTTTTAGATTTAAAAAATCATTACTCAAAAATCAGAAGAATGTTTTATTATAATCTTGAATTGAAAGATTTTATTATTTCTTTTAAAAAGAAAAGTGTACAGGAAGTTTACATATACTTTACTTTTGGCCAATACTTTTATGAAGTTTATATAGACTACATTTTTGACCAACACTTTTATGAAGTTTATACTATAGACTACACTTTTTTCCAATTATTTTATGAAGTTTATATTAAAGATTACACTTTGGTCAATTCTTTTGAAGTTTACATAATAAACTACACTTTTGGACAATTCTTTTATGAAGTTTATATCACTTTTGGCCAATACGTTTAAGCGGCGTTACATTGGCTAAGTGCTGTGCATAAGAAAAAAATCAAGAAAATAACAGACTTACCTAAGTCCTGAAAAATGAAGTTAAAAAAATCAAGAGCAATTAGTGGGGATAATTTTAAATATAGACTAACTACAGAATAAAATTGATAAAAATCTGCGGGTAGCCTTATTTAAATCAACCAAATCTCCCTACAGAACACCAGCCCTCAACACAACACCTCTCCCAACAGAACACCTGTCCCTACAGAACACCAGCCCTCAACACAACACCTCTCCCCTCAACACAAAATCTCTCCCTACAGAACACCTCTCCCTACAGAACACCAGCCCTCAACACAACACCCACCCCCCTACAGAACACCTCCCCCTACAGAACACCAGCCCTCAACACAATATCTATTCAAATGTTTAAAAAAAATATCATTTTTAAAAAATGTAGTTGCTAAGAATATTACTAGCCTTTACATATAAGGACTTAAGGCTATTAATAGCCTTTACATATAAGGACGTAAGAGATTTAATTTTAACATTTCATTTAACTATAACGGTAAATTTTGTTTCTTAGTCTTATTTTTAATATGCACATCAGAGAGCCGTTGAGTCAAAGATTTTAATGCCCTCTCCAAAGCAGCCCCCCCCCCCCCCCCCCCCCCCCCCCCCCCCAAGCTCAAGTCAAGTCCGAAATGTCCCTTACTATTGAGCCACGGTGTTCTACTACGGGTTTACACCTCGTAAATAGTTCACGAAGTAGCTGGGAGGAAACGGTTGCCTATGGCGAGCCTCCTCAATGGCTGTGTACATAGGGATCATGATTACTATGCTACAGCCCTATGCTAATTATTCTATATACATATATTTTTAATGAAAACATTAGTAGAATAATAAAAGCATTATTAGGACATTCGCAATATTACTACAAGATTCTTTTTTTTTTTTAAATAGTTAGAATCCCACAAAAAGACAGACGCCACTGCACAGCATGGGCGGTACCTGTTGTATTAGCCTCCTTTTGCTCCAGCAGACGATGAAATACAAGGCGGAGATGACATTCAGGGGCGGGGGGAAGTAAGGACTCTGTTTGAACTCCAACAGAAGTTTAAATCGCCTGTGCATGATGTGTTTCATGTTGTTGGAGTCGATGCGGTTGACCGTGTTGCTAAACAAAGAGAAAAAGATGTGACGTCAGAACCGACGTTTAGCACGGAAAAGATCATCTCCATTTGACTCACATTTAAAACAAGTGTGTGTGTGTGCCGCGAGCGAGTCAGGAAGGGTGGTTAAAAGGACTAAAGACATCAGTTATCAAAATAATCACAGTGGTCATGGATTCTTATTTTTTGGTCATCATTAAATTTATAATTGTACCATCATATTCCCGAAACAGCTTAATTTTATCACTGAATTACCTATACAGGTTAATTGTATATACCCCAGTTTTGTCCAAACAGACTAATTGTACCCAGTATTTTCCAAATAAACTAATTATACCCCAGTATCTTCAAAACAAACTTATTGTATGTACCCCAGTATTGTCCAAACAGATTATCTGTACCACAATATTTTCCAAACAGACTAATTGTACCTCAGTATTGTCCAAACAGATCCATTTTACCCTAGTATTGTCCAAACAGACTCATTGTACCGCAGTATTGTCAACACAGCCTGAACGCCTGTGATTAAAACCGACCTGAAAATGGCAATGAGGAGATTGACCAGGAGCACATTGGTGGCCAGCATGTAGATCCCAAGAAGAACTGGTACGAAATACTGGCCAAGGGGCGAGGGGCACCGTGGCTGCGTGTAGTTGTTGTAGAGGGCTGGCTGATTGGTGCAGTCTTGGCCTCCTGGGGACAGAAACGAAATCCGATTCCGCTACAAGTGGTTGAGAATCACAATGATTGACATGTAACTGAACATGCTAGATGATCTTCATGTTGCAACCCTTCAGGCCCCAATATGATTTTGAGGCCACATTTCCACAACCATGCATGCCTTAAATGTATATTTAGAGGAGACATTCTAGCTCAATGCGTATCTGATAAACATTTCTTGACGATCGTTTACAATTTTAGATTACGTGGATCATGGTCATTGGTGGGCAATTATAAGTATTCACACCAAACAAAATACTTATAAATTTAAAAAGTAAAATGTTCACTTTACTCGAATGTTGTTGTCATTTACTGTGGAAACAATACACGCTCAACGGTTCTAATCATTGTGGAAATTAATAAGGGGAAAAACACGAAATGTTGTGTAAAATTATTTGTATCCACACATAACAACTAATAGGAACCCACTTAAAATAACGTGGACTTAAAGCAGTCTCATCCAGTACCGGAAACGTAGACTAAGTGTACCCCATTAGTGTCCACACAGACCCATTTTACCCTCTATATCATCCAGTAACGTAGTCCTAATGAAGTCTCTTGCGACCTATTTCATCCAGTCTCTTACCCTCCATCTCATCCAGTCTCTTACCTCCCATCTCATCCAGTCTCTTACCCTGCATCTCATCCAGTCTCTTACCCTCTATCTCATCCAGCAACAGTTCTCCGTGCAGTTGCCAGTAAGCTTTCCGCGGGAAATGGTAGAGCAGCTTCCAGTTGATTTCCGAGTTGGGATGGAGCACCGACTCGGAGGCTATGGCATAGGAACAGATGAACACCATGGTGATGGCCAGCCATGACCCCACCTTGATCATCTGCCAACGACAGGGAAGGCGTTTGAACGCGTCAGTTCTTCTGGGTTTAAGAATGGACTCGGAAAGTCATAATCTTTTAATTTGAGCAGAACAAGAGCCTTTTTTCCTTTGTGGTGTTGTGATATTTTTGTTTGTGCCGTTGTTGTTGTTGTGTCGCTGTTGTTGAGTCATTGTTGTTGTGCCGTTGTTGTGTCGCTGTTGTTGAGTCATTGTTGTTTTGCCGTTGTTGTTGTTGAGTCGCTGTTGTTTGGTTGTTTTTGTTGCAGGGAGATAGGTCAAGGATTAAGAACAGAGATAAATCTTCGATTATATTAGGTTTGCTATAAAAATGAAAGGAAAAGGTCTACGAAATAGATTGCTGGCGCCTGTTATTAATAAGTTATACAAGTTGGACAAAAAATACATTCACTCCCCCCCCCCCCCCCCCCCCCACTTTTTTTTTCTCCGATTCTCTAGGGATTTCCCTTAATACACTTATATCAGAATGCACACACTCAATGTTTTTCATTAAATATACCTGGAATAGGAGAGATCACAGACACTCAATGTAGTTCACTAAATATCCCTACGAAAGATGATGGGGGCACGCCTATACTATCAGTTATAAGGAAAAAGTAAGTCGGAGAGTCATACAGCAAGCGTTGCTGTGAAAAGATGTTACTTTATGAGCACGTATCAAGACCAAAATGCAAGGAGTGCTCGTAAATTTCTCTTAGGAAAATAAAATGCGTCTGAAATTAGACCAGCTTGATAAGATTTTCAAACGAGGTGCTCTAAATTATTTTCTTTTATAAATTACGAGCCCGAAGGTGTGGATCGCCCATAACTGTTTCTAACACTTCGTTCAACGTTGACTTAATATTATATCCAGAAAATTGTCTGCTGCTACATTATTAATAGGAGTCTTGGGTGAATGAAGAGACAGAAATTACCCACCATCGGATGAAGGAAGAGACAGAAATTACCCACCATCGGGTGAAGGAAAAGACAGAAATTACCCACCATCGGATGAAGGAAGAGACAGAAATTACCCACCATCGGGTGAAGGAAGAGACAGAAATTACCCACCATCGGGTGAAGGAAAAGACAGAAATTACCCACCATAATAACCCACCATAATTACCCACCATAATTTCCCACCATAGTTACCCACCCTTAATTACCCACCATTTCATAGATCATCACCATCATCGGACCGGTGGCCTTGAAGACGTAGAAGAACTGCAACATCCGCATGTAGAACGTGATGATGGTGAGGCTGAGCAGCGCCCTGCCAGCCCCGAGGCAGTTGGTGCAGGGGCACAGCTTGGTCAGCACCCCCACGGGGAAAGAGATCAAACTGACGGCGTCCAGGCGATTCCAGTAGTCTGACAGGTAGAGGCCCAGTTTGCTCTGTCCACTCCTGGCGTTGGACTTGGCGATCTGACAAAGTAATTGGAAAGTGTACACTCCTTAGCGACTTAGCTTGTTCTAGAAATCAACCTATTGTTACTTTGTACTGAAATACTCGCAAGTTTAAATAAATTTAATACAGATACAATAATATAAGATAACAGAGATATAATAAGATAATTAAGAAATAATGCGATGAATTACTTGATCCAAGCTAAGAGAGGTTTATGGTGATAACATTCTCTTTTTTAATCGTCATATAATTTATTATTTTTTATATTAATAGTGAGCACTAAGAACTATAATATGTGAATATTTTATTCCATTTGAACGTAGGAGGTGTAGATTTCTAATCAAGTATCCCTTATTGTCTGTACAATGGATTTATTTTTCTTGGTAAATTATCTTTTCTAATAAGGCGACATGAAAACCACGTGATCGAATTATTTAATGATGTCCTGTGAACTAGTCGCGTTGTGGAAACCCACTGTGGAATCCCCCTTATAGGGCGTCCGACGCTTTCCCGGGATGGGTGGGGGAAGATATTAGGACGTAAATTTTTTCCATCCCAACTCCTGAGAAAGTCGATCGAGTGCACTGTTTAAACGCATAGTGTCGGATCGACCGGGTGCCTCCTGGTTGGGGCGGCCCCCATACGGGTTCCTGGTCCAGCGCCCAGGCGCCCAGGCGGGGGACTTGGGTGAGGGGCCCGTGTGGGGGCCGTCCTGACGAGTGGGCATCTCCAACGTGCCGCTCCGTGGCCCGATACGTCGGACCGGGGAGGGGTAAATTGGGGGAGGGGGGCCTAAGAGTCTAGACTTGCCCTGCTGACGCCATTTCTTAATGTAACAATGATGTCCTGCTTATGATTCGAATCAAAAGTAGGTCAGGTCCATGGGGCCTTGATGACAAATTTGCAGGTCTTCTTTTCGTTGGTATATGGCAGTGTATATCGGTTGTTAGTGTAATATGAAATGATTGATTGTTAGTCTAATATGAAATTATTGTAAAGTTAGTGTAATATGAAATGATTGTAAAGTTAGTGGTAATATGAAATGATCTGTTGTTAGTGTAATACGAAATGCTTGGCTGTTAGTGTAATATGAAAGGCGTCAATCATTCAACTTATGCGAAATAAGATTGGTGTTATCAATGTTTTACCTGCCGTATTTCCTCCCCTAGGAATGTCCCCCACCAAGCGATCACCAAGAAGTCCCAGGAGGACAGGTGGCCGTCCAGTTCCACTAAGAGGTAATAGCTGTAGAAGACCAGGAAACAAAGGAACGCCAACTGGAAGGAAACAATGGATTTAGATTATTGATAGTCCTGGGCATTGTGCGTGAATATTTTTTATGTTTCATTGTTATAAAGACTCAGACTCAGTGATCCTCTGCATGGGGCGGAAGATTTTGTCTTTTGTGGTAAAAGAAGATTTTATTTCATTGCATTCTATACAGACAAAATAAAATTGTGTTTAAAAATACAAACTATATTTCTCTCCTTGATTCAAGTGTTAACAATTTCTTCTTGTCTCAAATACTGGTGCTGACACAGGTGCAAGAAAAAGTGGAAATAGTAACTGACGAAACCATTGAAATGTATGTCTTGACTTTCCTCCACAACGCCCCCCCCCCCCCCCCGGTCCTCCGCAAGCTAACACCACGGCAAGATAACTCATTCACATCTAAGGAGGNCCACAACGCCCCTCCCCCCCCCCCCGGTCCCCCCCAAGCTCACCCCCCGCCCAGAAAACCCCTTCCCCCCCAAGGGGGGTAGATTTTTAACCCCCCTTGACATCCTCCCCGCTGGTATAGGAGGAAAAATTGGGTTTGGGGGGGGGGGGGTACATAGTCTGAAGGTTGAAAGAGAAGATAATAGAGACAGAGATGTTCATAGAGAGAGGGGATACTTAGAAAGATTGGGAGAGATAGAGAGAGGTATTTCGATAGTGTGAGAGTTAGAGAGGGGGGGAAGGGGAGAGAGTTAGAGTGAGGGGATGGATAGGATCTTTGAAAGAGACTGGGATAGAGAGAGAGAGAGAGAGAGAGAGAGAGAGAGAGAGAGAAATTTAATCCTATATTAATTGGTAGTATTCTTAACAATATTTGCTTACAACGCTAAAGTTTATCTACAGTTACAGAGACGACCCAGCTACTCACAATGTTGAAGTGTCATTGTTTTCAAGTATTCTTTGCCGATCAAACATCCAGTTCTTTAGCTACAAGACATAATATATAATTTTAACACTTTTCAAGATACTTGAGGGTCTCTAAAATGTCAAAAAAATGAGAAAATACAGTAAAACATGTAAAAATTGGTTGAATCATTTTTTAATACGAAAACAGAATCATAATTTTACGGCTCAAACAATCAAACGAGGCAGTCCACCTGTGGGTGTCTGTGTGCAGGTGGTTTGTTTGTTTGTGGTTTTTTTGTTTTTTTTGGGGTTTTTTTTTGTGTGTACCTTTTTCTTTTGCGAATGTGTGTGTCTTAGTTGTGAATTTGAATGGTTTTCATGTGTGTGTATGGGGTGTGTGCGCGCGTGTGTGTGTGTGTGTTTGTGTGTGTATGTGTGTGCATAATCTAAACGTATGCAATTTGAGTTCATTAAGTGTTTTTTATATAGCGCGGTACCCCAGGCTAGGGCTGTGCTCGCCACGCTGTGAATACAATTTAAAAAACATAATTATGAACTTAAAAATAAGGCATACATCAATGAAATATAAAAAAAACAGCTGTATAAAAACAAAACAAATGTATATTCCCTCCACCCATTTCAGAACTATTCACATGTCCAGCCATGGACGGCAGACCAGCAGCATCGTTTATCGGTCAGAGGGGGAATCAGTCAGGATAGTAGAGTTTAAAGAGATGTGTTTTGAGTGCAGTTTTGAAGGCCTGGATGGTCCATTGTTTGGTGGCACAAAAAAAGAAAGATCGTTTACCGTATGTTTTTGTGCGTGTCTTGGGAACAGAAAGAATACGCGTCTGCGGAGGAGCGAAGCTGTCGAAGGGGTGGGAATTCGAGAACAAGTTGTGGCAGTTAATATTTATGAGATGCGAAAATTGACAAAACGTTGGCTCTTGCGAGATGAAATTGTTACACACTGTTATGCTCTATGCACTCTGCTCTGCTCTATACACTGTGCTGCTCTATATACAATGCTCTGTTCTATGCACACTTTTCTTTTCTATACACACTGTTATGTTCTATACACAATTGTATGCTCTATATACACTGTTCTGTTCTATACACTGTGCAGCTCTATACACAAGTTATGCTCTATACACACTGTTCAGCTCTATACACAAGTTATGCTCTATACACTGTGCTGCTTTATACACAATGTTCAGCTCTATACACTCTGTTCTTTTATATAGAATCTGTTCTTTTCTAAACACTTTGTTCTTTTCTATACACTCTGTGCTGCTCTATACTTTGTTAAGTAAACATATAATTTTAGCTCTCTATCTTATTTCCATCTCGAGATTTAGAATTTCAACTTTTCCTCAAAGAGCACTTCGAAGGCAAATCAAACGAACTGCTGGAAAACTGTTGCGCGTTTGTATCTTAAAGTTTTATAAAGGAGTAAAGAGTTGACACACTGGTCCTGCATGATGGATCAAACTACACATGTCTTACACACGGTCTCACATAGTGTGACCTTATGTACTAGTATTGTGTGTGTGTGTTTAGATATATATATATATATGTGTATATATATATATATATATAAGCAGGTGAAAAAACTCTAACCTTGGCTAGAATATGCCACTGGACAGGTTTCCAGAGATCTTTCCTGATCTGCATGCACGCCTTCTGTGCCAGGAAGTACTTGTTCTTGGAGCGCAGGGCGAGGTACCAGCACTTCACATTCCCCCACAGCGGATTCTTCGTGGTCAGTAGTTGGATGGTCTTGTCACGGTCTGAGTTCCAGCACTCTTCCACCATTTGGATGGCCAACCTCTGGTAATTACTGTAAGTTCATTTTTTTTAAAATAACATGTTTATTTTGTTAGATCCTCTATGAATTTACTGCATTAACTTAGTTTGACATTGTCAAAGCGCAGCTCGAACAGGACTCTATAATTGTACATCCATTTGTTCCTGCCATCTTACCAATGTTATTTTCTTACTTTGCATTCTCTTTGAGTTGTCTCTTCCCGGGACATCCCAAAATTTGCTTTTGACCACCGAGGAGAGCAAAGGCAAACACACTGGAGGCTATGAAAGACTCCTTCAGGATCGAAGAAGGAAAATTGAATTAATACGTGTTTCTTTGTGTGGAAAAGTTCGTTCCGATAATAAACTAGAAATAGTGTTTACTCAATCAATAGAGCATAACAGCTAGAAAGGTGAAGAAACGATGTCGTGAAACGACCCCTTAAAGTTAGCTTCCAATGAGACAATGTCGTGAAGTTAACCCTTAAAATTACATTCCAATGAGACAATGTCGTGAAGTTAACCCTGAAAGTTACATTCCAATGACACGATGTCGTGAAGTTAACCCTTAAAGTTACATTCTGAGACGATGCCGTGAAGTTAATATTGTATACCTTCTGCATTCTCCAGAAAATCAAGGAGAGCTCAAAGTGGTTCATGAGTAAGGCCCATGTGAAGAGGTCTGTAACGGGAGTTGTCCTGTGTCCAGTCCCCCGGGGGTCTGGATCTGAATTGTATGATATACAGACAAGTTTGTTGTTTCTTACAAAAAAACAAAAAAAAAAAGCTTGATAAATATTTGAAAAGCATGGACAAATTTTCCAATCTTTTGATCACTAATTTCCACCTCCTTATCTCTCCTTCTTTCTCTCTATCTCCTCTCTGTTTCTCCATCTCCTTCACTTTTTGTTTTCTCTCTTCTTCTGTCTACCTCCCCGTGTCTTTCTCTCTCACACGCCAACACTCCTTCACCTCGTCTTTCTCATCCTTTCTCCCTCCCTCTCTCACTCCCTCAATCCCTTTCTCACCGGAAGTAGCATCCCCATAAGGGCTGACGTAGAAGTCCCCAATGAGCCGAGTAATCAGTGACCCAATGTCCGACCAGTTGACTTGACCTCTCTGTGAAAGACGTTGACATGACACCCAAATAAACCTAACATCAGTCCTTACTCATGTTTTTTGATAATTTAGAGACGCACAGACTCGAAAAGCTGACAGTTGGGAACGATATGATAGAAATGTCTTTAATCAGACGTGAAAGTGCCCTAGCCTCAGACATTGTGTTTTCATTGATAAAGATATAGCTAACTTACAATTCTGTATTTCAAATAATTACAATTCAAAGTAATTGAAAAAATATGGCTTTGATAATGAATTTTTTTTTATGTTTGCATTAACTAGTAACTTTCAATTTACCTTTTCATTAACAAGTAACTGTCTGTCACCTTTGCATTAACAAGTAACTTTCTTTTTACCTCTTCATTAACTACTAATTTTCTATTTACCTTTGCATCAAGTAGTAACTTTCTATTTACCTTTTTCATTAACTAGTAACTTTCTATTTACCTCTTCATTAACTACTAATTTTCTATTTACCTTTGCATCAACTAGTAACTTTCTATTTACCTTTGCATTAACTAGTAACTTTCTATTTACCTTTTCATCAACAAGTAACTGTCTGTCACCTTTGCATTAACAAGTAACTTTCTTTTTACCTCTTCATTAACTACTAATTTTCTATTTACCTTTGCATCAACTAGTAACTTTCTATTTACCTTTTCATTAACTAGTAACTTTCAATTTACCTTTTCATCAACAAGTAACTGTCTGTCACCTTTGCAGTAACAAGTAACTTTCTTTTTACCTCTTCCTTAACTACTAATTTTCTATTTACCTTTGCATCAACTAGTAACTTTCTATTTACATTTGCATTAACTAGTAACTTTCTATTTACCTTTGCACTAACTAGTAACTTTGAATTTACCTCTTCATTAACTACTATTTTTCTATTTACCTTTGCATCAACTAGTAACTTTCTATTTACCTTTGCACTAACTAGTAACTTTGTATTTACCTTTGCTCTAACTAGTAACTTTCTTTTTACCTTTGCACTAACTAGTAACTTTGTATTTACCTTTGCTCTAACTAGTAACTTTCTTTTTACCTTTGCATCAAGTAGTAACTTTGTATTTACCTTTTCTCTATCTAGTAACTTTTTGTTTACCTTTGCTCTAACTAGTAACTTTCTATTTACCTTTGCACTAACTAGTAACTTTGTATTTACCTCTTCATTAACTACTATTTTTCTATTTACCTTTGCATCAACTAGTAACTTTGTATTTACCTTTGCATTAACTAGTAACTTTCTATTTACCTTTGCTCTAACTAGTAACTTTCTATTTTCCTTTGCTCTAACTAGTAACTTTGTATTTACCTTTGCATTAACTAGTAACTTTGTATTTACCTTTGCACTAACTAGTAACTTTGTATTTACCTTTGCTCTAACTAGTAACTTTGTATTTACCTTTGCATTAACTAATAACTTTTTATTTACCTTTGCACTAACTAGTAACTTTGTATTTACCTTTGCATTAACTAGTAACTTTGTATTTACCTTTGCACTAACTAGTACCTTTGTATTTACCTTTGCATTAACTAGTAACTTTGTATTTACCTTTGCACTAACTAGTAACTTTGTATTTACCTTTGCACTAACTAGTAACTTTGTATTTACCTTTGCACTAACTAGTAACTTTGTATTTACCTTTGCATTAACTAGTAACTTTCTATTTACCTTTGCACTAACTAGTAACTTTGTATTTACCTTTGCATTAACTAGTAACTTTGTATTTACCTTTGCATTAACTAGTAACTTTGTATTTACCTTTGCATTAACTAGTAACTTTCTATTTACCTTTGCATTAACTAGTAACTTTGTATTTACCTTTGAATTAACTAGTAACTTTGTATTTACCTTTGCATTAACTAGTAACTTTGTATTTACCTTTGCATTAACTAGTAACTTTGTATTTACCTTTGCATTAACTAGTAACTTTGTATTTACCTTTGCATTAACTAGTAACTTTGTATTTACCTTTGCATTAACTAGTAACTTTGTATTTACCTTTGCATTAACTAGTAACTTTGTATTTACCTTTGCATTAACTAGTAACTTTGTATTTACCTTTGCATTAACTAGTAACTTTCTATTTACCTTTGCATTAACTAGTAACTTTCCTAGCAGCGAATCTTCGGGGACCTGTTATTGACAAAAAAGAAACAAAGAAATGTGTCGAATGAAACTAAATAAATAAATATAAAAATAATTAATAGACCACCACCCTTCCATGAATGACATCATCATTCTTGAGTTATGGTCGTTAGAATTTGAACAAATGTAAACATTAATTACTCGAAATCTCTAAATGTTATATTTTAAATGATGTACTCTTTGTGACAACTTTATCGTATTTTTTAATGTGTGTGTTGCAACAAGTTTCGTGTACTTCTGTTACGTATGCACATCAGTAGCTCCAGTGCAACACTAAAGACTTACGTTGTTGTAGAGAGTGATGACGTCAGCTAATTTCGGGAAGTCAGTCTCGTCAGACGAGACTTGGTACCGGTCCAAGATGGCGCCGCGTTCTAAAAACAGCTCAACAAACTCCACTTTGTTCTCGGCTATAGCGAACCATAAGAGCTGCTTCAGCTCTTCCGGCTTTTTGAAGAAAAATAACATGGTAAAACATGGAATGCTGTCGGATAAACAATCATTTGTATAGGTATTAAAACGTCCCATGGCGACGTGCCAAAAGCAAAAGACTTGTAGGTTGAACAATAATAATGTAGGTAACTGAATTAACAAGCTGTTCAAGTTGATGCAGTTGTTTGTTGTTGTTTTTTCTTCTGTTGTCCAACAGAACTGTCCTTCCCCCCCCCCCCCCCCCAGACCAAACAGGAAACCAATAGGTTTATAAGTAATGACTCTGATTTTTATTGCTATTTTTAGTATTCAGGCATTTGCTTCACATTGCGAGCCTATTGACGAGGGAAGAAATTCACCATAGATGTATATATTAGCTATCTTCGAGATGTATCATTTAGTGATCAACTTTTCTACTTAGTTAAGCGATTGTTTCAGAGGTTCAATTTCTTTCCAATCAATTCAAACAACGTAAGAAATAAATGTAAACCTTATGAACAGGCGTACGAACCTTAATTGATACTTGATCTGATGAGACGAAGGATTTGAACAAATCTAACCGACCCCACTCAATCATGCGGTGAAGTTTGAAAATCTTTGAAAATCCTTTCCCTGTAAAATGCGAAAATTTCTTCATTTAACCTTTCGGCTCATGCATAGTTATTTTAAAATCATTTATCTTCACTTCACTTTTGTTCAACGGTGGCTGGCTGGCAACTTTGGACGGCTGATTGACCCACTTCCCGTCACTTCCCGTCCAGCTATCAAATTGAAACTGGCGCATAAACGCGTTGTCGATGACAACATATTCTTTCAAATTTTCAGTCCCCCAACCCCCCAAAAATATGTTTTTCGTGTTTTTCAGGGGGAACATGAAGAAAAATTCCCGATAACTGCGCCAAATGATTCTTTAAAAGTATCGCAAGTGCGTTTGGTGCGTAATATTTCTTTTGTAGTTCTGAAATAGTTGGTGAAATAAATGTGCGGTGTAAAAGCGGGTGGGTCATAAGATTATTAATCTAGTTCAGGGGCGTGGAAAAAAATTTACGGTTACAAGTCTGGGGGGGGGGGGACTAACTGGGTTTCTTATATAGTTCGTTACTTATATGCATTTTTTGTCAAATTTTCACCCCCCACCCTCATTGCTCGATATTATATTTGATAAAGGATTTTTAGGAGTTTTTTAATTATCTTATTTGTTCAAAATCAATTGTAATGACGTATGCTTCTAAACATAAACTATTGGCCTCTTTTTCTCCAGGATAGTCGATGTTTGTTTTCTTTTTTACATACCCTGTAAAAAAACGGATGCATGTATAGTTGTGTTTTATATGCTTACAACAGAGTCGTTAATATTTGCGTAACTAGGAGGCGAAGGGGGTGAACACCCCAGGCGGCAATTTGCGGGGGAGGTGCGGCAATTAACATTCCTTTTCTTCAAAAGAGCTACTTAAAATAAATTTAAACGAAAACAGACATTTAGGCACCACCAGTCAGTTGCTTGATGCGTCTGACACAGGTTAGATACGGCGCCCCACGGATTGATAGTGAATATGCATCGTCGCGATACTTTTCACCCCTTTAGAGACAATTCTTACATGGGGCAACGCTACGCACCATTTAAAGATGTCTGTAAAAGCACTGCGTCAAAGTCTTGCGCAGAGGAGTCCTTGGCGTCATAGACAGTGATGAGGTCTCTGTATTGGTCGCACAACGTTTTAAGATGGCGCTCCACTGTCTGTGAGTCCTTGCACGGACTCAAGTGTTGTTGGATGAGTTCTTTGGTTCGTCTTTGAAAGCGTGCAGACAAAAAAAAAATTAAAAAAAAAAAAATTCTTCCATGTAATTATATAATTATGTTATGTTCATGGATGGATTGATGTCTGATGATGGATTGATGTTTGATGAATGGATTGATGTTTGATGAATGGATTGATGTTATGGATGA